ATGGAGATACACCTTTCTTAGGGAGTCTACCCAGTGGGTGGGTACTGTATGGAGAAGGAAAGAAGGAAATATAGATCTTCCCTACTAAGCCAACCATCTCCTACAAATTATGGTAAAGGAACTCTATTGATATTAGTCATTTTCATAACTCCCCTCCTTGGTACATTAAGAACCATGCAAATATTTGTGAGTAAGGGGTTATTGACAATCACTTATTAGCAATTAGCAAATTGTTATTAGTAGTTTCTAACTTCAAGTCTTTTAGTAGCCCAGATATAAGTGAATCCTAGGACAACTTAAGAGGTTGAGGAACTCATCTAGACAAAAATGTTATAATCACCTTATGTTTCAGGATTTTTGTCTAATTTTGTTCTTAGACTGTCTTAGTGTGGTACTGATAGAGTTTTCATTGAAGTATCTTTGGTCTTCTGATACTTGAATATAACCTAGACTGGAGGTATGGCTCAAGCAGCAGAGCACCTACTTTGTAAGGTGTGAAGCCCTGAGTTCAAATCCTAGTCACACACACACACAAAGAATATAACCTATAATTACCAACTTGGTAGGTAGGTCCTACACAGTTAGACAAAATGATGCATATTGACTGGCTATCAATTACTTGTGGGCAATTCAATCCATGAGTTACCCTTGTTCATTGGCTGAGATGTCCAAGATGCAGACACCTGGAGCCATCCTGGGGCACCTCTCATCTTCCTACTACTCTATTACTCTCCCATTCATTCTTACCTCTGAGGCCATTATGAACTTTTTTTCAGTTGGCAGCATGTGCTGTACTCTTTCTTCCTTCTGTTCATTTTTGGTGGTGGTGTTCTCTCTAGTGATCTACCCCTACTCATTCTATGTTAATTTCTGTTAAACTTTAGTCTCAGGTCAAAATTCAGAACCCTCAACTCTTGTTAACTGCCCCTCCTGCTGGATCCCATCCCTTTTTAACACATTACTGATCATACTTGTGTGTGTGTGCATACACCACGAGTTGCCTATATTCCTGGGTATGTATATATACCCACTAGACTTCAAGCTTTGTGAAAAAAATAACTGTGTCTTTCTTCCCATAGTTATAATTTCCAGGCATGAGCACACCTAATCCACAGTAGTGCTCAATAAGAATATGTTGAATGAGAGAATAAACCTTAAAAATATTCTAATTGCTTAAGTCTATTGATTATGGAAGGACATTTAGATATTTTTATGGGCTGAAAAAAATAGTTAATTTATGTGTCTTGCTAGTTTTAGCTACATTTTCACATTTTGCTTATGCTTTTCATAGGACTGGTAGTTTGGGGACCAAAAACTACAAAACTTGCTTTGCACAAGTCTCTATAAGTAATAATGACCACTACCAAGAAATCTTTTTTCTTTTATAATTCCCTGTTTTGTATTTTAAACAAAAGCCATGAGTATTCTAAGATTTTAAAAGCTAGAGCTGGGAACATTTTTATATTTGGTAAGAATGTGACCCATAGCTTGAACACAGACCAGTAATGAGAATCAAAATAAAGAAAGATAGGTATTTTGGTTCCAAGTTTGCCAATAAACTTCTTTTTTTCTTTTTCTCTTCTCAATTGGTCAGACTTAGGCATTACAAAAAGAATCTTTTAATTCAATTCATTATGCCTTTACCTGTTTTATGATTTTACAAAACCAAACACCTTAAATATTGATTAATAAAGTAAGCAGGAATGAATAATATATAATGCTTTCAAGTTAATCTTAACTAAACATCATTAAAATGTGTTATAAATATATAACCCTTTCCTGATGAAATTATTCCAGGGTCTCTTGGTGCCCTAGAATATAAGCACCAACATTTTCTGGCTTAGCAGTCAAGGCCCTCTCAAGACCTAGGTTGAATCAGTTGTTCAAATTTTTCCTCCATTATTCCTTTTGGTCATCTACTTTTAATGAAAATCACTAGCTGCTTGCTATGCCAGCACATAAGAGATACCCAACTGTCAGTGAGATATCAGAAACTGACTTTGCCTTAGTCAATATAAAACGGGAGGGAGATCATTTAGACTGGTTTTTCTCAAAGTTTATTACCTGGAAAGCTTCTTAAAACTCATTGCTGAGCCCCATCACTGAATTTCTGAATCAGTAATCTTTGTTGTGCATTTCTAGCACATTCCCAAGTGATGGTGATGGTGCTGGTCCAGGGACCACAGTTTGAAGATGACTTATTTAACTTCGACTAAAGTTGAGTGCTAGAAGTGCAAGTTCAATATGAATGAGCTGCCTTTGTATAACACAGAGTGATCCTTTAAAAATAAAGTCACATCATGTCACCTCTTCTGCTCAAACTCCTTGCAGTGGCTCATTATTTTACTCCTAGCAAAAGCTGATGTGTTTACAGTGTTCCACAGGTACATGTTAGATGCACCCCAGTCACTTCTCTAGTCTTATTTCTTGCTACCCCCAACTCCCATTCTGATGCAGACACATTGACCTCCGTGTTTTAAACTTTGACACACTAGGCACCTTCCTGTCTTAGGAAATTTGCTCTGGGTATTCCCTGTGACTAGAATGTTCTTCCCCTCATTCAGTATTTAGCCTACTTCCTCACTGTCTTCAAACCTTTGGCCAGGTATCGCCTTCCCAGTGAAGAAGCCCGTCCTCATGAGTCCATTCAGTATTGCGCCTTACCACTCCTCTTCCTGCCCATAAGCCCTGGCACCATTAGCCCTTCTCACCTTGCTTTCTGTTTTCCTCTTTGGTGATACCAGACCTTACTGACTTCTCACATATTACATATTTGTCAATTATAGTTAATGTTTGACTCCTCCACTAGAACACATGCTTCCCTTTGGGACCTTTGGTTCCCTGATGTATCCAAAGCACTGGGTACATACTAGGCATGCAATATACAGTCATTGAATGAATGAATGAACAAATAAGTAAATACATTTGATACACTGTACAACATAATGCTTCAAATAAATGCTGTATAATAGTATCTTTTAAAAAATATTACCTGTTTTCCTATAAGGTAACTTATCTAGGTTACTCAATGACAAATTATTTTCTTTTCATCTTTATCTGCTTGGTAAGTCATATACTGTGATTTGCAGACATTCGTTTTAATGATTTGAGGCTATACACATATGCATACCTAACCACTTAAACAAATCCTGTACAAAACAGTGTTGGAACTGAGTATGTTCTAAGTCAAAGCAGGATTATAAGCAGTTCCTTTTGTCAGCACGTATAAATAATGACTCCTTATTTTAGTTCCTAAAGTCCTGTGGATTTTAAAGATGCAATTATCTTTGGTATAAGTTTTTTTTTTTTTTTTTGATACTGGGGTTTGAACTCAGGGCCTCATGCTAGGCAGGCACTCTACCACTTGAGCCACTCTGCCAATCTGATATTTTTAAGCAATAAAGAGTAAAGGGTTGGTTGTGGTGTTTCATGCCTGTAATCCCAGCTACTAGGGAGGCATTGATGGGAGGATTACAGACCTAGGTCGGTCAGTTAAAAAAATTTAAAGCCCAATCTGGAAAAAATAACTGGAGCAAAAAAATTGGGCTGGAGGCTAGGCTTAAGTGTTAGAGCACTTGCTTAGCAAGCACAAGGCCCTGAGTTTAAACCCTAGTATCCCACCTTCTAGATTACAGATAATAGCTACTATAATAATAGTTTTGTTTCTTGAGGGTTTATTACCTGGCGGGCAATGTGCTAAACACGCACTTCATCTTATATGCAGTCTGTATCTTAGTTACAGAGAAGAATTTTGCACATGAAGAAACTGAAGGCCAGAGAGCTTTTCACTAGCTGGCTCAGCGTCAGACAACCAGTAAGTAGCAATGAAGGAATCTGGTCTAGAAACCTATTAAAATGAGAGTCTGTGTACAAATAAGGAGCTGGAGTAAAACAGAATTCTTGGAGAACAGTTATGACACAAATCCAATTTTGGTGCTGGATGTTGGAAATGAGCTGTGCCATACTGGCCTCTCTGCTGTTTAAGAAACTAATCTTGTAATAACAAGCCCCTTTGAACTGCATGTAGAGACTCCATATCTTCTCCCTGATATTAAAGATAGGCTATTTCTAAAGAGCAATTTGGTTTTTCCTTTAAAAAAAAAAAAACCTAAGGTTTTAAATGCTCACTTTCCATTGTATTGCTCTCTTCCTGTCACTGTTTTTGGGCCAGGACATGGAAGTCCTGGGTAGGGCAAGGAAGAGCATGATAATCAATCCATTAGTAGTCCTGAGTAGTTTCTGTTGTGTAATAACTCCCAAGTTGATAGATGTGTAAACACTAATGTAGTCATTTGAGCTGTTTATCCACATTTGACAGTACTTAACCTCTGCATGTACTCGTCAGAGTCACATGTTACAGGTAATGTCATGTGAATTCGGGGGATCTTTTAAATTTCTTTTTTAAAAATAAACTTCTTAGAGTTATGCCAACAAAAAAGCAGAACCTATTCTATAAGTGTTTGATGTTTGGGGTACAGCATGAAATTACTGTTGTACTCTAAGTTAGTTATGATAGAAGGATACATTACAGCAGTGTCAACCAAAGTGCATTCATTCATAATGAAACCAAAACCTGCAGTTTTATAGGTGTTCATGCTCACCATAGAAGTGAGCGATAGATGACTCAGGGACACGTAGCCACTCTTTATGGCTTTAGTTTGATTCCATTTATTATCTCCTCCCTCTTCATACATTTATGTAGTCTTCAGATCATCAGAATGATCTGTCTCTCTTCATCATTCTTTTCCAAAATGTGTTGGTACTAGAAGTAATTTTACTTTAGGAGTGAGAAAGGAGATTACTTTATGAATATTGTAGTGTTTTCACCTAACAGGTTGAAAATTCTTGCTCCTTATCAATGAAGAAATTAACTGAAGTTCATGAGTCTATTGTCTGAGATTTTCATGACCTCTCTCCCTTGGACCAGCAAAATAAAGGAAGGAAGGACTCATCTCTTTCACAAGAGTCATCCTTTACTCTGGCACCATGGGTTCACTTACCTTTGCAAGCGTCTGGAGCAGAGAAGGGTCTCCGGAGGTCACGGTAGAAGCCTGGCTTGCAGCGTTGGCAATGCTGACCTTCTGTGTTGTGCTGACAGTTGTTGCAGACACCACCACTGCGATTCCCTGATGCCTCCCACACATTGATGTCAAAGTGACAGGTGTCAGCATGGCCATTGCACTTACAAGCTGTAATAAAAGCACCACAGAGGGACAGAAGAATACAGGTTCTCCCATACTCAAGTAGTTAAAAGTAGGATATTCTGACTGTTGATTTTAAATCTTATTTCTAGTTTTTGAATAGTGTACAGTAAAAGAATAACACTGTAAAAAGGAATACATTGCTAACTCTAGTTTCTCCATATCCATTTATCCTGTTCCTCCTTGCCTTCAATAAGTTACTATTTTTTTAGATTCTCATCTATTCTTATAAAAGAATAAGCATTTAGATAAATATGAAAGTCAACAAAGTATAAATCTGTCTATCCAAGCAGAGATATTCTAGCTATCTTATCATCTGGGGTTGGCATTTATTTTGAGTGACCACCAGGTATTTTCTCTCTTTGATGGTAATTTCACATTTCCATTCCTGCTAAGGGAAGTCACAGTGGGTCTCTTGACTTTGCTAAGAAAAGCCAAGACTGTCAGGCAGTATTTGAAAATGACAGTTTATGTGGCATATCCAAGCCAAAATTCATGCTCACTTGAGAGCCTGGAAGGAAACTTGTGGTGGACAAAGCATGGGAACTATAGATTTATCTTCTACGAAGTGTTTTTCCTCAGCTTTTGTCATTTGGTATGTATTTTGGCATATTCATAAGGAAGTCTGTTCTAGAAGCCTCATTTGCTTACAGAAGAGGCTTGCAGTGTGTCTTATGTAACAGTCGCTCACGGCATTTCTAAGATCATCAGCCAATACATCAAGTGATCATTTCTGTGCTTGATGTATATTTAGATATGTGGTGGGTTTCTGTGGAAAGGACCAGAATGGCCCTCTAGGAATATGGAAAAATTCTTTAGATTCTCCAGACTTTTTCATGGAAGTCAATTGTATTTGAAAATGTTTATTGTATTGTTTTTCATTGTTTCCTTGATGTGTTTATGATATTTTGACCTGATTCATATCTTTAAGCAGCATATTATAAGATAATTTAAGATTCATGTTTTAAGGAAATCCTTTATATTTCCTAGATACAAAATAAATCAGTTATGACTCCAAATTATGTATGGGAAGAGACTTGTCACAACTTTACCCACGGCATTTGTCTTTAAAAATCCTCATAAAAAAGAGGCTTGTGAATATAAACATTATTACAGCATGAGAATTTCTCTGAACAATTTCAACTGCAAATAGAAAAACAGTTCATGTTCCCATGATTTCTGTTCTCCTATCTAATCTCCAATCTCAACCCCTAATTCAGTCCTAGTAGAGCAATCTCATTCTTGACTTACTGTTTTAATTTCTAATCTGATTCATCATTTCAAGTATAACAAGTGAAAATACTATAATATTAGGGGGAAAAGTATCTAATGAGAGTCTGAAGACTTGGGATCAAGTCCCGACTCTCATTTACTAACTTTGACAAGATCCTTAATCTTACAGAGCCTCAGTTTCCTGATCTCTAAAATGGGAGTAACACTATCTGTTTTCTTGGGTTGTTTTGAGAACAACCCAAGCTATTTTCATGATTATAGTTCAGTATCTCAGATATGAGAGCAAACACTATAAATCTCAATTGTTCTTGTGGCTATTCATTTTGTGTTATGTCAAATTCTCAAGGAAGTGTTTAGATCCCACAAAATGTCCAAGCAAATAGGCAACACATTCTTGACAAGTCAGGCCTGTTGACAACTTTGCAAGTGAACTGTTCCCACTGGTTGAAGTCATAATGGGCAGTGATATGAGCTATGTTTGTGCAGGTTATAGTGTGTGTCACCCACCACTTCCGATTGTGTTTCTAGAGATAGCAAGCAGTCAACAGATAAGTTTACTCTACAAAGAAGGCTTTTGAGTATTGTGGGCTCCTTACTTACTTCTGCACTCGTTAGGAGCCCCTGTTCTGCCATCAGCTGCCTCCCAGGGCCGGTCATTGTACAGTGATGCACAGTGCTGGCAGTGGCTGCCTGCTGTGTTGTGCTTACACATGCACTTCCCGTGGACCTGTGGACAGCATGAAGAGCTATGAGCACAGATGCTAGGGAAAAATGTTCCTTCCACAACTTCATCACATCAGTTTGGCTTTAGCCATAGACATTCATTCACTTTTCTGAAGAAGTTAGCTAGCTGGAGAGGAGATCATTTCTTTAGTTAGTCCTGTGATTAATTAAAGATAAGTAATAGTTTTCATGGCTATGGGATATATGACCCTTAAGAGCAATTCTGAGGTACTGGCTAAGCATGTAAGTAAAATTTTAATGCCTTATAATTTTTTTTGTACTTCATACAAAAATAATATTGGACTGGAGGTGTGGCTCAAGTCATATAGCATCTGTGGTCCTGAGTTCAAGCTCCAGTACCATCAAATAATAATGATAATAATAATACATCTTTACTATAGAAAATTTAGAAGTCTGTAATCTCATTGTAAAGTGATATTGACATCAACATCTGGAGTATTTGCAATTATAAAGACTTTTTCATATAATATACTGAGAATATTTTTCCATTTCATTAAATATGGTTGTATATGATATATTTTAAGGCTCTCTTGAATGACATATAATTTGTTTGACCTATCACCTATTTTATTGTTATTTAGGCTTGTAAGTATTTTTATTTATTATATGCAATGCAACAATGAATATCCTTGTAGCTAAGTATTTGTGTAAAACTTTATTTCTTCTGAATGTGTTTTCTAGAAATAAAATTGAAAGATCAAAAATATGTACATAGGAGTCAGTGATCAGGAGGACTGCAGTTTGAAGCTATCCCAGGTAAACAGTTCTGGAAGACCCTATGTTGAAAAAACCCATTACAAAAAAACAAAAACAAAAACAAAAAACAAAAGGGGGCTGGTGGAGTGGCTTAAGGTGTAGGCCCTGAGTTTGAACTCCAGTACCACAAAAAAAATGTAAATTATTAAGGCTTTGAATATACTTTCTCAAAATGACTGGGTATTTTCTTTTGACCCCATAGTTGAGGTTTTGTTTTTTGTTTGGTTGTTTAGATGGGGTCTTGCTATGTAGCCCAGACTGGCCTCAAACTCACAATCCTCCTTCTTTACCTTCCATAGTAGTGGGATTACAGGTGTGTGTCACCATGCTTGACAGTTGAGTTCTTGAAGGTTTCTTAAAATAGTATTTTTCACAAAAAAGAATACTTTAATAGAATTCTTAGGGATTTGAAAATTTTTTATTTGACTGGTAACGTCTAAAAATTAACATTTTAGATTATCTGCAATATCTCCTAGTAACTAAGAATTGGCATGGATTGCAGTACCATGGTGCACTTACTGATACTGACATCATGACATCATGACTGTAAATATGAACGCTCTGCAAAACAGAGCAGGATGGGCTGCATTAAAGTGGCTCTAGAAGTCTGTTTTTCCTAAGCGGTGCTAAAAGTAACTCAGAATAAAGGTAACACATTATCTAAATCAGTCAACAAATATTTAATAAGTATCTGTAAGGGACAATCACTATGCTAGGCTATGTTTGACATACAAAACATTCCCTGTCTTTAAGAAGGATAAAAAAAGATTTATGTGGGAAAAACAAACAACCAAACAAGACAATAAATGAATGCCTAAGAAGCAAAATGATGTTGAAAATAGAAGGATGTAGAAATCACTATAGGTTCACAGTTGTGGAGAGTTTTCTGAGAGGGGTGGGGAGTTGAACTGGCCCTTGACAAGTAGGCAGCATTTCTAACAGCAAAAGGAAAAGGAAATGAAGTGAACCAAGGTTTAGGGAGAATCTGTGAACAGTTTATTTCAATATATGTAAAATGTTTTTATTGCAACAAAAGCAACTACTAAAACTGTCATGTACTTAAGAGTAGTCAAAACAAAATGAGTCCCTCAAGTAAAGTTCAGTAAACCCGAACAGCCATACCAATACGCTGATGTACTTCCTGTGTGACCCAGGACAACACTCAGGTTGAGTTGTCATCATATCCAGGATCCTACTTCTCTTAATACTTTCCTAGTGTATACAGCTCTAGTTCCACTGGTGGAGGCACAGTGGAAATGGCACATGTGTTATCCAAGTTGTTGTATGATTGCTGTGGGCGTTGTGTGCACAGAGTGTACATGTGTGGTATTGTACACAGGATTTGTTTTTGTGAATAGACCATATGACCCCTAAGAGTTGACGTCTGGCAAATTTCATAAATAATGTTCTGATTATTTTGCTAAATTTCATCTCAGTGTTTTGTAATATGAGGTTCTCATGCTTAATAAGAATAATAGCAGTCTTTTAATTCTTAGGGATTAGCAAGGATATTGAATTTTTTAAAAAAGGGTGGGATTGGCTCCTTGGAGCAATTTGATGTTGCAAAAATCTTTGTTAATTTTCTTTCTAGAAATTCAACTAATATTAGAGGTTCAATTTATTGGGTTTGGTCTTGCAATTCCCAGGTATATGTTGAGTTATGATAATCTGTCTTTTTGGGCTTCTCTTCATGAATATTTTTTAATTTTCCACTGTTTACATAAGGAAGTTCCATGGAGTTATAAAGGTTCACTACACATCTCTAATCACATCCAAGCAATCAATAAAGACAAATCTGCACTTAAATTTGGAGAGATGCAGGAATTCATTTTCTACTGCTTGGTTTGGGGCTAGTGGCATGGTTTAAGCAGTAGAATGCCTGTTTAGCAATCTTGAGGCTCCAAATTCAAACCCCAGCAAAAAAGAGTGAGGGCTTTCCATCCTAGCTTTTGGATATGTGGTTTTTTTGTGTGTGTGCATCTTTCTATATAAGGTATATGAAATATAAATGCTTCAGTCCTACTGCTTTTATTAAGTCTTTTTAATTCGACACTCTCTCTTACCATGAAAAAAACCCAGAAACTTTTATCAAATAACTTTTACATGGTAAGTTTCTTTAAAGGCTCTAAGTAAAAACTAATGATTCATTGTTTTACTTGTAGTTCTAGATGCTGATTTCAAACAAAATTGAGCCTTTGGAAGAAATGACTGTGTAGGAAAAATTTTCCAAGGTTGAAGGGTTTAGTAAAGTAAAGGCATATGTAGCTGATAGAAGTAGCACAATGAGATTAGTAAGAAAAAACTATTTTGTAATAGTCTAAATCCTATATATCAAAAACAAAACAAACAAACAAAAAAACCCAAGCAAAACATACCCAAAACACATATGAATAATTTGATAGAATTTCAGTCAGAGTTCCAAGAATAAGCCATCGCTCCTCCCTCACTGCTGTTACTTGGATTATATGGAATACTATCCAATGAGGGCATTGAGAAATTTGAGGCATATAAAGCAAATATGATAGACAACAAGGTTAATGAGTACTAGCCACATGGAACTTCTAATTGTCATCTTCAAGGCTATGTCTTTTTGGGTGTTGTCTTTAGGGAGCAAGGAAAAGAAGATAAGAACCCCAAAGAAATGTTCAAGGAATTGTCAATAAATCAACCTGAGGTAAGACTGGAGAGGTAGGTTCCGTCCAGCTCTTTAAACATCAGTTTGGACTGGCCAAAATTTATCTTGTAGATAATGCAGACTCATTGAAGATTTTTGAGTAAGGAAATGATCAAAAGTTATATTAAATATACTTTCTTTTCTTTGCTTTAAGGAAAAATTCTACTTCCTCTCTGTTATATTTTTTTCTTCCTCTTTTATTATTTCTTTTTCCACATCCTCCTCCCCAACTTAAGCCTGCCAGTAGCCAGTGGCATCCACGTGTATTTTATGACAACATCCAGAATTTTTTAAATAAAATTTTTTATTAGGATATATTCATTATATGGGGGGATTCATAGTGACAATTCCTATTAGACTTATATTGTGCATTAGTTACATTGCCCCTATAGTCTCTCCCTCTCAACTGCCTCCCCATCCCACTTAAAGTCATTGCAAGAGATTTCCTAGTTCTGTTTCATACAGGTATATGAAGTTCATCTATCATATACTGTCACCTTAATCTCCTTCATTTCCCCTCCCCCTCCTACTAGTTACCCCTGCTACACACTCTACCTATTTTACAGTCCTATTTTTCATTATTGGTATTTAAGTTGATGTTCAAAGGGGTGTCTCAATGTATGTCCACTGTGTGTAAACTTTACTTTGGTCAACATTCAGAATTTTAAGAGGTTGTTCATTATTATTTACTGCCCTCTTGCATCTGTTCTACTCTTTAGCAATCATATATTGAGAACCATATGAAAACAGATGTTGAAAGTATTGTTAGTTTTCTTTAGAGGAACTCAACTATTGTCATAAATTCAGTTTATCAGGTTTGGTCTTGGAATGTCCAAGACCTATATGTAATGTCACCCAAGTTATAGGTTCATCTTGTCCCACAAATTCCAAGCCTCTGGAGGTCACAGACTTTAGGGTAACCTCATCAAACATTCACATGAATCACAAGATTGTGTTGGACAGGTTGATTCCCTCTGGAGTAAGAATTTTAGAGCATTCCCTTGCTCTTACATGCCAAGGGTTGGGGTGAACCTCCCAGGGTCTGAAAGATGCTAGCCCAGCAAATTTTTCTGCACACAAAAAAATTCAAGGAGCTGTCATTTTGAGAATTACCAAAAATAGCTGTAAATTATTACCTAGACAGTTTGAAACAAGAAATCCTTCCTCAGCGATACAACTGTTGCTGTTCAAGCTTGAAAGATCACCCACTATTTGATGCTTGTGAAAAATGTGCAAGTAAAACTAGGTCTTCATTGAAGAAAAACAGAAAAAGGAAACTTTAGTAACAAGTTAAACATAACTCTGTTTTGGTATACAAACATGAACTAGATAAAGAAGAGGAAACTGGATTTATGCACTTAAGGTTTAGTTGAAGAACATTGGTGGCTGGCTGTCTAACTGGAAAATGAGAACGTTATCTTAAAAACAGAACTACACCTTCTAATTACCTAGCATGAGTTTCACAAACCTTTCTGTTAATGCTAAGAATATTTTTCTGTTTTGATGTCAAAAGTTTTCATAATCACATCTAGTTGAGTTTATTTATTACTAGT